TTTCCCCAGATATTTATGTGGCTCATTTTCCACCTTCGGATCGCTTCTGAAATGCCACTCTCTTGGAGAGGCCTCTCTTGACCACTTGTTAGCCTTGCAACCTTCTCTTCTAAAATTTACTTTCCACTTGCCCTGTTTTACTTTTCTTCAGAGCATTCATCATTGACTAGCATATAATGTTTTTTAAGAGGTTTTTGCCTTAGGGTGCATGTGTTTGCCACAGAGAGAATAAGAGACAGAAATAGTGAAAAGAAAAGTGAGAAATCATCCCCTCGGGGGATGGCAGTTCCCCACTCCTTTTTCTGCCATTCCTCTCCCAGGATCGTGGGTTATACACACCTGGTGTGATTTTCAAGCCACTGGTTCTGGGACTCGAACCATGGTCAGCCATGTGAGAGTCCAGCAATGCAACTGGTACACCAGCTGCTTCACCCTAGCACATAATTTAATTTTACTTGATTTTGTTGTCTTTCCCCCAACCCCCTGTAGAATATAAACTCTATACGGACACTTTTTCTTCTCATAGTTTTGTTCTTTGCTTTATCACTAGCATCTAAAACTGTGCTTTAGCATATGGTAGTTGGCTCTTAGTAAATAAATCTTTTTTTTCTTTTTAAAGAATTATTTTATTTAACTTTTTTATTATTTATTTTATTTCTTTATTTCAATTTGACCAGAGAGGGACAGAGTGAGAGAGAGAGAAAGCCGACAAGTCCGGAACTCGAACCGCGGTCGGCCACGTGGGAGTCTAGCGCCCTTCACTACCATGTCACCTGCTGGCCCCCGTAAATAAGTCTTAAATAAATAAATAAGAGATACATAATCGTTTTTCATGATTCAGGACATGTCACTTATTCAGGATTTCCACCTGGGGACAGGTCCCATTTTTGTCTTATTCAGTGTTATATCCCTAGTATCCAGAAAAATACCTAGTGTATGCAGTAGCTGCTTAGTATATAGTTGTCATATGAATAAATAAACTGGAAGGACATCATGGGGAACCACACATAGGCCAGGAATCAGTGCTTTGGTAGTATCGAGGGCGCAACTAGATTGGCACAGCATCGACAAGGCCCAAATGTAGGTGTTACCATCATGGCTGTGAGAGAGGAAAGAAGGGTGGTTTGAATGGAGCAAGCAGCATCAGTTAGGAAATGGTGATGGGGACAGCAGGTGGCATGGTGATTAAGGTGCTGAACTACCACACGGCCTGCCAGTTCGAGTCCCAAACCAATTGGCTTTGTCAGGCATGGGTGTGGGCATGTGTGTGGGTATGCTCAAAATCACAAGAGGAAAATAGAGAAGAAGGAACTGTGGCATGGCCATTCCCCCGGAGGGTGGGTGGGGATTTCTCACTTTCTCTCTCTCTCTCTCTCTGTCTGTCTCTCTCCAGTGAGTGTACACGCCCTATGGCAAAACCCTAAACAAACAAACAAAACGAAACAAAAGAAAGACAGAAAAGTGGAGGGGAAAAGGAAATGATGATGGGGCTAGCAGGAGGCACAGAGGTTAAGGTGGCTGGATCCCACATGAACCATAGTATTCTTGGGTGTCTATTAAAATCAAAAAGGTTGGGGCCAGAAAGTGGCATGGTAGGTACGGTGCTAGATTCCCACGTGGCTCACTGCACTTTGAGTCCCACAGCCAGCAGCTTGGAAAATCACACTGGGCGCATGTGCGTGCATGCCCGAAATCCTAGAGGAGAATGGAGGACAAGGAATTGCAGTGCAGCCATCCCTCCTTAGGAAGTATTTCTCAGTTTTCCTCTCTGTCTCTCTCTGGTGAGCGCATGCGGCCTATGCCAGAAACCTAAGAAACAAAGCAAAAAGGCCCTTTGTTTACACTGTACAAGTGCTTGCTCACTGGGTACGTTTGTCCTATGTAGATGGTGCAGGGTGAGAGTGAGGGGATCAAGAGGAAAAAACAGAAGGAACACATTGAAAAATATAAAATGGAAAATTATCTGTTGAAGGTAACATATAGTAATATTTTGGATTAAGTCAATATACAGTGTATTCTGAATGGGAAAATTTATTTTCTATGCTGTAATGATATACAGTGGATAAATGTAAAATAAATAAAACATATTTTCTGACGGAAACAATATTATATCTCTAGCAAAATCAACATTTATATGATCTCTAAATTCACTGAAACAATACTTCTGTGAGTTACAGAATTCAGTTTTCCCTCATAACAATTATAACTATCAAAAAATTTTTAAGATGGTGAATCATTCTCTGTGCTTACCACAGGCCTGACACTCTAGTGTATTTCTAAGGTTAGGTGCACTTTCAGAAAATATCAACCTAGGCTATGTCTACAGAAGCCAAATCGAGCTGTAAGACGCCTGAGTTAAAGTCAGAGAAATTATCCGAATGTTGAGAAGAGTGATTATAGCATCTCTAAATCTCTTATAGTAATACCACTTTCTGTTGGAACACCTTGGCTCTCAAATAATTGTAGAACAGAATCCAAATTCTCAGAGTTTAAATATCTGCCATAATTCGTCCCATCATGCTTTTCTCCTTTTATGTCCTCGACCTCCTTTGAGGTGTTCTAGGCCATGAATTTAAAAGTACTGTGATCTGAGCAAATCTCATGTACCTGTAAGCTGTAGTGATTGAGCTGTAACTTCTAGTTCATACACGCCCGTCCTCCCCCTAATGCTTTAGATCATCATGATTAGTTCTCTGTGCATATGAATAATCTCTGTGAGTTATTCCTGGCTATATCTTTTTGTGATTTCTTCTATCTCTCAACATCTTCTGAGTTAACTGTGTCATATACTTTGCTCAAAGAATGTAAGCACTTACGAGGTCTAAGCGCTATAACCACGAATGGAGGCTTTTGACGATCTAAACTAATATAGGGATGCAGTTTAGAGGATCAGAAGATGACTATCATATTTAAGCTGTCATGAAAACATCATATGTCTCCTCTGTGCTTTTGATGGCTCAGGTTAGCACGTCATATCAGATTGTCTGTCATCCTGCCAGACGCTTCACACGTTAGCCAGCTTAATCGTTAATATATCTCTTCAGCAGATGCATTTGGTATCCTAATTTTATAGATACGAACTCTGTGATGCAGGGAGAATAACTGTAAATAATTTACTCAGGGTCCCATAGTGTGTAACTGGAAAAAAAAGATATGGGTGAGTTGCTACATGATTCTTAAAAGCTTTTGCATAATGACTATTATTTTTTGAAAATGTGACATTCTGGTCTTCTCTGGTTTGCATATTGAAGCTGGTGCCCTGTTTTTCAGTGCATAGTCTTTGCTATGACCTCTGGCCAGATGTGGAATCATATCCGTGGACCGCCATATGCTCATAAGAACCCACACAATGGCCAAGTGGTAAGTGTATTTTCTAAGCCTCAATATTCCGAACTACTTTGCTGCTTATTATAGCAATCAGAACCGTGTCCAGTATGTAGTAACAAAGGCTTCCACTGCTAAACCAACACGGGGTTCTTTTTCCTCTCATTTCCTGCCTCTGTCACGCGCATGCACACATACACATACTCACAGCACTGCTTCGGTTGGTCTATCAGGACTGCTTTCGTGTTGATTTTTGAAATCTGTTAATGTGTCTGCCACATCACATATAAATGCATAAACTATTTCTTGATCTTTATATATGGCTGTGGCAATAATAGGTAAAGCCACAGGGAGAAGTAGGAGCAGTTTGTAGCCAGTGTCCCATCAGTGCTAGATTAATTTATTTTAAAAGAGATCAATTGGGGACCAGCAGTTAGCATAATGGCTATGTCGCTGAACTCCCATGTAGTCGACCACGGTTCAAGTCCTGGATCCGGTGGCTTAAACTCAATGCCAGGTGCGTGTGCGTGTGTGCCCAAGATCCCAAGAGGAGAATGGAGGAGAAGGGATTGTG